CTCCTGCCTCCCTGAACACAAGATCCAGATGAGCAGAAGTGCCAGACCCTTTCTTAGTGGGCTTACATGCAGCCTCTTATCCTGGTTTTCAAAGACAAATCTCTGGCAGGGGAGCAGGGGCATCCAAGATCTGCTTTGTCCCACATTTACCCTCCAGAGAGATTTCCAGCAGGAGGCCAAGGAACCCAAGATAGATTTTTTTTAAGAATGCATTACATATACACTTTGGCAAAACAGAGAATAGTCTCAAATAAGCTTGAGGGAAGCATCAAGCTGCTGTTCCCTCATCTCCCATGAAATCCCTGCCAAAATATAGCATAATGCAACAAAACCAACTATAATTGTAACATTTTTTTAAATTAAATTATGAGTCCAGATTTTTTAGCTTAACATGGATTCCCTTTTTTTGGCATTCACAACTTTAACAGTTATACACGTGTTCCAGCTTAGTTACCCCCAAAATATTATCCAAACATTACTATTTCAGGACATGCTGTGGGGCAAATGAGCCCTTCTGGATTCGGGGCTGGTTGCTTTGGACCACGTGCTTCCTTCCAACCAGACATGGTTTACTCGCGTCCTCAAAGAACTGAACAACACCCTTTTTTTTTTCCTCGGACACACAGCCCAGGGAGGTTTTGCTTTGCTTTCTCCCCCATGCTCTCTGCCAGGCTCAGTGCACCTCCACAGGTACCTTTATCATTATTCAGTGCAAGCAGAGGACAAGTGAAGCCACAGTCAGAGTCAGACACAGAGCAACCACAGCAGCTGCCTCACAAAGCCTTCCTGGAAAAGCAATGAAATGGCCAAGCACCAGTGACAAGCACAATGGGGAGATTTTGGGCAGCCTCACACATGTGCCATGGGAGTCCGCCCTGTGCAACTGCTCTGCTGAGAGCCACACATGGCTCCTCTGCTGCCACCTCCTCCCCTCCCACTGACCACACCAACCAGTGCGCCATTGAGAGCTGCAAAACCTCCCTCTCTGTGAGCCCTTATTTATGGCTGCTTGCTGTATGTTTCTGCAGCATTTCCAGGGAATAGGACACAGTGTTACTCTGTGACTGCTACAGGTCAGTCCTCATTTCAACAGCAATGATGTTCAGGAAGGTTTGCAACTTCTCTGTTTAATACCATCCCGCTGAAGCAATGCTCACAGGTCTCACAACTCAGTTTGCTTGTTGATAGCTGCATTTTGTTCAAATTCATGTTACAATTCCTGCTGAGTCCTGAGTTAGCCAAGGACCTGCTCCCAGGGAAGTCACTCCCTGATGCCCCTTATTCTGAAAGTGATGTTCTGAACTATAAGGATGTATTTTCCCCCATATTGTTTGTTTTCTTCAAAGCTCCAACTCACTTCCTCCATTTGTTCCTAAGACAGCTCAGCTCTCATAAACTATCTTTTGGTGGCAAGTTTTTCCAGTCAGCTAGCAATAAAATTACCTCTGAGCCTCCTTCGATTGCAGCACAATTCCTATGGCATGCCTTATCCCAGACAAGGGCATGCTGCTTGGCCCGAGCTCTAATCAACATCCTTTCATTCACAAGCAAAAAGAAAAGAGAACAGCATAAAGAACCATGTATTTCTCAGAATGGTGTCTTACACAGAAACTCCCTCAAAAATACCATTTAGCAAACCTAAATAAAGAAAACCCACTCCTCCTCAGTTCCTCTCAAACACAGTCAGCCCAGTCAGGAAACCATTCCACCCTTCTTTCTCTGGTCTCCATGAAGCCAGTACCTCCAACAACAGAAAAGTCCCCAACTGTTATCAGTCCTCACAATCCAGCAGAGAGAGGGGTTTCTGTAGTCTTTGTGCATCAGCCGTAGAGCCCAGCGATGAGCACAGGGCCTTGCAGGCAGAGGGGTCACCCACACATAGGCAGAGGAAAGTCCATTTATTGTCTGGCTCTTCCCTTACAAGTTAATTGTGCCATTTCTAACACAAGGAAAGTTCTTTTGAATCTCTGGCTAAGCTATTCATACAGGCTTTTCACTCACTCCCATTTATTCTTCCTCTAAATATTCAGGCTGGTAAATAAATGTTTTGCCTTCCCGAGCTAATGCATAATGTATAAATCAGCCCCAAACACAAAGAAACTTAAAAACAGTTCTCATAAAAAAGATTGAGATTTTTTCCATAAACAACAGCTGGCAAAGTATCTCACAAGAGGAAAAAAAAATCTTTGCTGATACATTTAATTGCTTCAGAATTTAATGCTTTTCCAGACTTGTTTACCACAGCCGATGTTAGAAATTAAGTGTTTCAATCCAAAAACTGCAACTCCATCTCCCACTTCAGGACACACTGCCTGAGGAAAGCTGGAATGGCACAGGTTTCTCCTCAGCTGTTCCAGCCTTCCACAGGATCCTGGAGCTTGCTCCCAGACTCCTGAGGGGATACTCTGGGCTGGGAAGAGGATTCATCAACTTGTGACACCATCACACAGACACCTTCACGCAGAAACATGAAGATGAGGGTCTCAAGTATTTTCACCCAAAAATTAAAAAGCAGGTGAAACTGTTTTGTTTAAATTTTGAGTGAACAAAACACTATTACACAGAAGAGACATTAAATGTTTTTATAAAAGAGAACGATAAAGGCAACAGAGGAAGGTATTTATTCTGACTTTCCTGTAAATATTTTCACCCCCACAGAAACAGCGCACAGTCACACCAGAGTGTGTGCAATCTGAGGGCCATCCCACCGTGCCTGCTGTTAAGCATGTCAATAAATGAAGATGGATTTGCCCTGACAGCCACACCTGAAGTTCCGTACAGAACCTCCCTGGCAGTTTCTGTTTACCCCAAAAATCAGACAACCTCATTTTTACAGGCCTGAGTGCCCCAGACCATGCTGCTATGCCACGCAGCTTGTCAGACAGGCAACACTACCCCAAACCATTCCTGAGCTTCCCACAGCCCATCCTGCCCAGCAAGGGGATCTCCGCGCACCAGAGAACCTCCCTTCTCTGTGATTTCCAGCACCTACAGAGCCACGGACACAGAGCACAAACCTGGCATGCCACACAGCCTGTCACCTTCCCAGCACCAAGCACAAGCCTCCAGTTAGTTTCAGTTTTCCACACACTAATCACTCACAGCAATATCCTTTGAGCAGTTCACTTAGTTCTTTGAGTTTTACAGATAAAATACAAAGTATGTGTTTCTTCTACTGGTCTTGTGAGAGTAGAAAAATAAGGCAGTAAATTAAACCTGGTCTGCTTGCAAACCTCTTCCCTCTGAAATTGGGCAACAGGCTCTGCTTTAACCCCACCAGCCCTCTGCTTGCTCAAGCTCCAGCAGGATTGGCAGCACCACATTTGTGGAAGATGGGGATGGCGCCAGCCCTGTCCCCCAGAGTGACACCCCAGCTTCACCTACAGAAGCAGTGTCACTCAAGGAGGCTCTGTGTGATCACCATCCGTGGCGCTGGGAAAAGGAGCAAAAGCAACAGGACTTTATCTAGTTCCACTGGTTGCAGGCAACTCTGCACCTCCACTGGGAATGTGTCATGGATCTGCAAAATCAAAACAGGATGGGAAACTAGCTAATAGCACACACCCTTAAAAGGCCATCCAATCTCGATTTGTAGGCTCAAACCAGCGGGGAATTCCCTACATGGAAAAATCTGCCAGGGGAAACATCTCCAGAGACTGTGGAGTCTTCAGCTCCACAGTCCCTGGCTGAGCCGAGCACTCCATTTGCTCTGCAGAGCAAACAAGCCCAAGGCGCTCATACACATGCTAGAGTATGAATGCACACATGCCTGCACACCAAGGTCTCCTCCAGTATTCACTAAACACCACCAAGAGCTCCAAGGAAACTTGGCCACGTAGGTTATGGGTAATGACAAGTCACATAACTCAGCTGTGGGCTTCTGGGTCCTCTTGGCTTCTGTGTGCTCACCTACTTATTGATTCTATTCTGAAGGCAGGTCGAATATCCCTGTCTTTCCCAGGAGACAGCGATTCAATCCAAACATTCAGCACAGACGCAGTGGAGGTAGGGCAGAAGACTTACTGGCTTTCAACAAATTCAGAAAGTCTCTCCTGGGAGTGGTTGCTCTGTTATCGGTCCCTCCAGCTCTGGGAATGGCTGCTGCAGGCCACAAAGTGCAAACTCTTGGTGTTTCCCAGGTCCCAGACCAGAGCAGGTTTGAATGGTTCCAAGAAAAGGGAAATAAAAACAGTCCAGGGAAAATTCAGACTGCCTAGTTAAACTAACTAACAAGCAAAAGCAAAAGCAAGAGCAAAAGCAGGAGCAAGAACAAAATCAAAAGAAAGAGCAAAAGCAGCACAATGTACTGCACCATCTGTGTCCAGCAGACCGTGAGGGAGTGAGCAGGCTGATAACAAAACAAAACTTCACTTTTCAGAGCCAGTCTTGAAGGCACAGAACATACTATCCAGCATAGACAGAACAGACAACTGGGGACGCAAGCATCATAACATCACCCTAGGACACTGGGTCACGGGGGACTCACACTCATGGGGGCAGGAGTTGAATATCCAGTTGGTTTCTTCTGAGACTTTTAATGAGTGCTAATTAGAAGTTGCCATTCAAGCTGTCAGAAGCTGCCCATCCATCACCAGGTGCCTGGGCTGATGCTGCTCAGGATTGGCCTTGGTTACAAACACTCTGCTCAGGACTGCTCACTTCCTTTTATCCCACCTCTCTTTTTTCTATGCGTACACATATAAAAACCAAGGAACAGGTTTATTCCTAAGTATTTCCCTCTCCAGCAGAGAGGCACAACCACAACTGTGCAAACAACAAGTTTCTGGCAGATACTCATCCAGGCTCGTGCCTATGGGGGACACTGCCAAGACCAGGGGTGAGGACAGAAAGTTGTGGCACTGCCTGGACACTACTTTCGGTCACTGGCAAAGGCACACAATGAGCTGGAGGGCAGCAGTTCCACTGAAAGAGAAGCTGCCAGACAGCTCATGAAGCACTGGAGTAGCTGCTGCCCCACAATCAGTACTTTTTTCTCCAAAGCACCAGCATAAGCATTTTAAAAGATATTTGACCCTATCCTGAAATTCTAGGGTATCTGACCATATCCTAAAATCCTGACATTCAGGATGGAAATGAAACCAAATTGGAAAACCACCCAGTATCTCTGGACGAGCATACACAGAGTGTTGAGCAGCTCTCCATGCTGATGACCATGGGGCATCTGCCTGGTTTAAACACTCCAAGCAGCTGGCATCCTGTTCTGTTACTCTCACCATCTGTCTGGAGCATGCCCTGCTGTCATGGACAGTTCTGGATTGGAGGGGTGATCCCTTTTTCTGTGTGGTTTCATCACACCCACCACAGTTGATCCCAATGGGAGAGCCCCTGAAGAGCCTTGGCTAAAGTGGGAGTTCTCCACCCCTCTGCCAGCACTAGACATCTTGGTCTCTTTGGGAAAGAAAAATCACTCACCTCTCGATTTTCTAACAGGAGCAGAAGGGAAATTAAAAAGGAGCTGCACATATGGGCAACCAGTATCTAATCTGGGAATTCTTTTTAATGCAGTGCCCAAAAGAAGGGCATTTTAATTAAATATTTTTATTTTACCCACTGCTGCACACTAAATCAAACTGCTTCAGCATTAATATATGAAACTATTATTCTGTGCATGCATAAGTGAATTTACACGTGTCTGTATATAAAAACTATACCATTAAGCACTGCTTAAAATGCAGATTGCAGATGATAAAAACTCCATCCTAACTGTATCAAAACCTGACTTGGGATGTTTTATTTGATTCTTGGTCATTTAAATCTCATGTAAATGCAATGAAGTCAATGAAGCCAGTAATAATTTACACTCATGGACTATCTGGACCTTTGATTTTTAACTACTAACTACTGGCAAGAACCAAAAAGCAAGCAACAAAAATCCAGTTTGCAGCATGGGGCCAGATGTTATTTTTTGTCCTTTGCAGTAATAGCTCAAAAATACCGATTTTAAAACAGAACTCTAAGGAAGGTTTATTCTGGATCTTAGAGCTACATCAGCTTTCAGCCCTGAAACTTAAGTTAATGCTTGAGGCCCCTGCTTCACATTCATGTTTGATCTGTGAAATACTATAGACACACCAACATTTAAAGCATGTGCTGATAACTACTTGCTCTGATTTCTTTAATTATCAAGCTTACTCCCTTGTACATCATAGAGAAACTTTAAAATAGCTTAGGAAAGACACTGCTGTTCACATGATCTGATCAGGAATCTCATACACTGTCCCAACAAAAATAAGTCACACATTTTATATGGCCTGGGGTCAACAGGCACCGAGGCAAATTACTTCATTCCCAAATTTCTTGGTACTGCAAGTCTAAAATTTTTAACAACCAAAAATTTACAGCAGTACAGATCTTCCTGGGGAGAATTAGGACATTTTACAAAAATGCAGCAATATATTTTTAAATGCTAAGTGGACAATTTGCATTTATCACACCAGGCAAATAATTCAGGTGTGAAAAAAAAAAAGAATAAACTATTCTGATATCTGGCCAGTCTAGAATATCTACATCTGGTACACAATAACTGCAATGTTATTGCAGCTCTGAGCAGCCATCTGCACCTCAACAATGACCCAAGGCAGCCAGAGCCACCAAACAAGGGGACCACACTGACTCTTCCCAGTTGTCAGCCCAAAACCTTCCACTGGTGCCTGCCAAAACCCTCCAGCTTTCCATGCTCAGCATGTGAAAATCCAAGTGCGTTTTCTTCCCAGAGAAAGGAGCAAGTCTGACTTGACAATTTCTTTTTTTTTGCTGCCTCCTTAGAAATTTAGGTCACAGGCCACAGTGAAGACTTCTCAGATTACCAGAGTGATGCACAGCAGCAGCCTGGCATCCTCAGTGTCAGAGAAGTAAAACCTAATTCAGGGAGATACAATGTGATTTTTATTCACATCTGAAGTCATGCTTAGTTGCTCAACACCTTTTAAATGCAAAGGTATTTAAAGATTTGGAAGCAAGGGTCTGCTTTCAGTATTTCAAGCCTCTCTGCTGCCTTTTCCACAACACACAATAACCAAAGGAGTAACCCAAGCTTGCTAAAAGGTCAAGGAAGCAAGCCTCATTCCTCCAGATACAAAGGACAAACAAAAAAGTAACAGAGGAAAAAAGCCAAAATAAATCCAAAACCAAGAAAATTTCTGGGTATTTTAAAATTATTCCAGTGGGGAAAACATAATCATAAAAAAGGACACAGGGCTTCCCCACTCCACCACTGGAGAGCTACCATGCAGAGGGGGCTGCACTTCTGACAGACTCTCAAATATCCTCCTCCTGTGCCTTTGGCAGCAGCAAGCATACAGGTTCTGTTCTTTTTTACCTACAAGGATTATTTTTCTCTTCCTTCCCCCTTGGCATTATTTCTCAAGACTATAAACATGATTCTTGGGTAGCAACAGGCAATTAACCTTTGGTGTTCCTCACTCCCCGTGCAGCGTGACACACTGATCTTCCCCCAAAGCTCTGTGAGCCCTCCCTGCACAGCCAGCCTGTGGTAACACAGCATTTTCCACCAGAAACAACAATTAAAATGGGAACAGGATCATCACAAGCATCAACAATCAAGCAAACAAGTCTCAGTCTGAGAGATCTACCCACACTACAGGTGCACATCCCATCTGTGCTGCGGCACTGAAGGCTGGCCAAGGTTCTTTTCTGTCAGAACAAGCAGTTTAATTACAGCTGTTTGGTACATGGGTAGATATGTATTCTTGAAAAATTGACAGCAGCTTTCTGGGGAAGGCAATTTGGAGCTCACCACCTCTCCAGTCTGCACACTGTAGGGACAAAGCTGGCTTTGGAATCTGGAGTTTGCTTTCTCCTTCTTTTGTTTCACTAATGCAATCACACAGAGGATGAACTGGGTAATACCACTGCCACCTCTTGATTTTAATCTCACAAGCTTTGTTTATTTTCCTCTCTGAAACTCTGGCTCTTAGAGTTGCATACATAACCACATGGGAACACTGGCAAAAATTTAGCAAAATGTACACCACTGGCCTCCTGTGTATGTCCAGACGGCCCTGTTTTACAAGGAACTGCATGGTTTTGGTGACCAATTCAGAGTTCTCAAGTACCCAGCCAAAAGCAGTTGTTCTGAGCTTCCCCTTCAGCATGATGTCCAGGTACAGCCCTGCTGTAAAACCAGGTCCTGCCTCAGAGCAATCATGGTCAGCTACTTGCTCCCTGCACAGCAGCACAACTCAACCACACTTGGGCTGTGCCCCCTTGGATGGCTGAAAAATCCTAGAGAAAATGCTTGTGACCACTGCTTATTGCTAAGAGATCCTGCAATCCAGCAGTCCTGGAAAAAGGCCCAGTCCAAAAGGCGAACCCCAAGCTCTGAGCAAGTCCAGAGCGCAGCACAGAAAAGGAAAAATATCCGCCGTGGTTTCTAACAAAGGAAGCCACGGGCTCTGCAAGGAGGGCTCCAAAGCCCTCAGCTGCCCTGCACATTTCTCTCAGCCAGAGGGGCAGCTGTTGGGACAAAGCCAAACCCAGTGTCTGGACACAACTCGGGCACCAGTGCCTGGCTCCCCGAGCTTCAGCTCCTTAGGGCCAGATGTCAGCACCAAATCTTAGCCCCTGGTCCCCACCATGAGAACATCTCTCCTTCCTGGCTGTAGCAAGGGAGAACCCAGATCCCTACCAGCACAAGAGCCCAGAATAAATAAGCATGCATTTGTTTCTGTTTCAGATGTTTTAATGCTAACATTCTGGTTTTCTGACCCTTTAGGTCTAAAGTTGACAAACAGGAGCAAAGTGTGGAAACAGAAGTTCAAGGAAATTTCTGTCAAATTCACCAAATTTATAGCTCAGTGAGAGAAGAGCATCTTTCTTGCTATTCCTCAAGGATATTTTGTTACTAAACTTTCAGCAATTTATTTTTCTAACATTCCCTCAAGTGAAAGCAAGGTTTGGCAACTTGCAAGGCAGGAACAATTTTTTACTTTTCATTTTGCTAGGATAAAATTAATTTTGCTTGAGGGAAGGCAACTTTCAATTGGATTGAGGCTCAAAGAGGAAAAGGAAAAAAACTAAAACAAAACACAAAATCACTCTTCACAGAGGATGCTGTATTTGCTTGGCAAAAAGGCCTTTCTAAACTCTGCAGTTCTCTGGACTTCATTCTGAGCATGACAGCCCAGCAGAACTCACACCACATAAAGCCCACCGTGTGCATAAACAAAAGAAAGGGAAGAGATCAGAATGCTCAGCTCCACTCGAGGGGATCTGGGTTTGTGGCCTTGGGTTTGTAGTTCAGTGCCAAAGGGGCCCCAAAGACACAGCCACAAGTAAGTAGTCAGCAAGGGTTATCAGCTCCACAGCCAAGCACTACAGATTACACTACCATGAGCTACTCACAGGAGAAATATTGATAAAGGAGAAAGTTGCTTTTGAAATAAGATGAGGAAATGTAAAAACTAATTGCACAAAAAACTAATTGCACAAAATCTTTGGCTGTTTAAATTAAGCACTTTTATGCCTGAGGGTCTAAATGAATACACGGGGATCTTTTTGTTCCTGCAGCAATCAAGTATTTCCTGCTATTACTGATAATGACTTTAAAACAGCACACTTAAGCAGGGCTGTTACTTTATTTTCAGCCTTCCTGAGGTGGGAGTGGAAGCACTAAAGCAGGGGAGGAAGGAAGGCAATGACAGCTTGTCAGAGGAAGCATATGTCAGTCTGGTGAGAGCTAACAAGGACTGGCACCAGGACCTTGGCCACCCCCTCCAACCTGAATCTCCATACATGTGACATCCCATCCTGACACAGCCTGTCACCTTCTGGCAGATAATAAACCATGTCTGAAATAAGAGCAAGCTTTGGAGCAAGCTCCAGTGCAATTTGAATTCTGAATCTGGTAGCACAGGGACCTGACCCAACATTAAACCAGCTTAATCCTTTTTCTTGGCTTCCAGTGGTTGAATCACATTTCTGAACAGAACTGGGTGAGTAAATGATACTTTGCCTGAACGGACACAAGTAAGTCTCACTTTTTCCTCATCATCTTTTGCATGAGCTAAAACTGTCAAACATGGCCCAGAAACACAAGTGTCTAATTTAAACAGTGTCACTACTTCAGTGAATAAACTGTCCATTTTTTTGGTCCATCTCTAGCTCCACACACCTTCATGTGAACACCACAAGGACAAGGGGATGGGTAGGAGATGCCAGAAGAGCATCTGCTGTCTGACAGCAGACACTACCATGAGAAGCCACCAAGATCCAAGAGGGAGGGAACAGGCAGCTCTGACTGCAGGGCTGAACACTCAGAGGACAGGTAGCAAGAGACAGAAGCTCCTTAGAAAAGATAGCAGGCTGGTCTGTGGTTCTGCTTCCACAGGCACTCAACGCAACCACCACCAGCCACAGGACCAGGCCAGAGCCTATGATGGCCATTTCTCAGAAAAAGGTCAAAACAAACAAACAAAAAATCCTAAAAATGGTCTTTAGGCTGGAATCAGTCCATTTCACCGCTTACTATGTCTACAGTTTTTGTTGCAAAGGGAGCAAAACCCCTACTATCTGGAGCAGTTCTGATGATGAAATGATACTAGATAGGCCATTGGATAAACCATTAGGAAATGAAAGTAGCAGTTAGCAAATATCATGACAGGCATTCAAATGAGCCTGTAATCACCCAAGCAGCTAAAAAACACAGATCTTCCCTTTAGCACGCCAAGGTGTGTTTATTGCCAACATAGCACAGAAGCCAAGTACTGCAAAAAAACACAGCACATTTTAACAGGAGGCATTCCCCTTCCCTCCACCAGTAGATGAGGTAAAACTGCTTTCTTAGACGACCCACTCCTGCCAAGCTGCAAGGTGTTTATACAGGTTCACTTGGGAAGTTAGAAGGAAAAAACCTCTTTTCAGGCAGCCTTTCCCTCCTCACACCCGCTCAAGGGAAGAAGCACCTGAAGGTCAACACACATGGTGCTGTGGGGATGCTAGGGAGTTTTGAGCTCTGCTGATTCCCAGGTCACAGCAGGCCCTCAGGCTTTGGTTATACAGCACTCATGCATTACGCTCAGCAGCACCACAAAGTGCCCCAGTTTCCCTGAGCAGCCCTTGGAGAAGGCAAAGGCAGCCGTGCTTGGTGAAACCCCAACTGCTGTGCCACCATCTGGGGCCTGATACACCACCAGCACAGCCAAGGGAAGGACTGTTCTGCCCTGGGGCCGTGGGATCGAGCTTTCCATCAGCTCTGCCTGACAACCACAGTTCCTGCTGTCAGGCCTGTGCCAGGATTTCAGCCACCCTACTCCTGGCCACACTTTCAAACATGAAAGCACAGCTAACACCACTTTGCTCTCTTGTGGTTTAGAATCACAGGCAGCACCACCGTCCTTCACAAAACGTTGATGTGCCCATGCCCTTCTGTCAGCTTTTTTACTCACTTGTTTGCTGAGCAGCAGAACTGATGCATCCTGCAGGTCATCCTCAGATAACAGAGCTCAACAGGTAACTTTTACAGACACTGCATTTTAGGAGTGTCCCACTCCCAAATGCTTCTGACTGCCACCTGGCCTAACATCAACACAGTACTTAACACTACTCAACAGTACTTAACACTACTTAATGTTATTTGCACTATGACAAATCCAAACAAAATCGACAAAACCAGAAGCAGGACCTTAACTCTGTCCCTTCACTTCCTTTCTGCAGTACTTTGCATCAGTTTCTACTATGGAATGTCACATCATGACATTCAAGAAGAAACAGTAATTTCACATATCTAGGTATTTCTGCTTTCTCTCTCCTGAGAAAACATAGAGTACTCAGTAGTTATTGTTCTACTTTCTGAAAAAAAAGGGGGGCAAAAACACACACATCACAAATAAAATCTCCCATGCTTCCTACAGACCACTCTATTTGGTGAGGGCAGCAGGAACAATGGTGAGACAGACAGTGCTGAGATACCGAGCACAGTGGGGGAAAATGTTACTGCCAGTGCTGATGTGAGGCTGAGAGACTGGGTCTGCACTGTGGCAGAGTTATGCAAACAAGCAAAAATTGAGTAAGAAAAATTTTTGCACCAGTTTTTGCTGTCTAAAAAAGACCATAATCATCCATCTGTCTAGAAATGTTATTAAGGATTATGGCAGAGGAAAAATTATAGGCAGAAAAGTGCAGCCAGAACTGGATTTGTTAGAATTTCTCCTGGGGCACGTAACCTACATTAGTCCTGAAGAACAGAGGAAAACCCTTCCCCTGTTCTCCCCAAAACTTGAGGGAATTATATCCAAGCTCTGATATGAAGAGCAGTGTTTATGGACTTAAAAATAAGTCCTGGAGTACAGATGTGAGGAAGCCATTTGCAGGACTGAGGAGCTAGAGGCAACTTTCATTCCTACCTGGTTCAGTGCAGTTTCTGATGTAGAGCTGCCCTCCATCCTCTGGAAAGTCAGTCACGTTCTTCTCACGTGCTTGCAGGAGTTGTCGCCCACTCCACTTGTCACCATTTCCCACAGAATAGCTCAGGGCATCGTAACCTGAAGGAAAAGTGTAGTAACACATTAGGAAAGGCAACTCCTGATTCTGCTCCTGAACATCTTGAAGCAGACACAAAATTTGCATTTCAAAAATACCACACTCCTTGGGTTTAAAAGGGCAGTGTTTCTAAGACCACTGGAATGGGATACTGCCAGCAGCTCCCCATCCCACGGGAGCTATGTGCATTCTTCCAGAGTTTCTGAAGGTCATCCTAGCAGAGCATCTCTGTTTTCCCACCCTGCACCATCTGACTAAAGCCAGAGCACACCTCTGACTCATTTCCACACCTCCACGCTTCCAGTAACAAGAAATATCCATGAACACGAGGGGCAGTACTATGTCTCACTACCTTTGACTCAACCCTTGCTCTGCTTCCCCTTCGGCTTTTCCTTGGTGCTGGTAAGTGAAGCTCTGTTTTAGCAATGTCAAAAAAGACAGCTGGCTGACTTCTACAATATTCCTGGCACAAGGCTGGTCAGCCCTGGACATGCCATGTCTGCCTTATCAGCTGGACAAACATGCTCGTGTGTCAGTTCCACACCTCCTGTGCTGGTTCAAATTCAAGGGTGGAAGAAAAACTCTATTTTTTTTTTTTAAGCCAGAAGATATCCACACACCAAATAAGCCCTCTTGCAATGGAGATCGTGCAGCCCTCCAGTAACATACAGCATCTAAGAGGCATTTCTTCCCATCTATTCGTCCCCTTCCCAACAAGCAGGACATGGGCTCTCTCACAAGGACTTCTGAATTATTCCCAGTTTTGTCCACTACTTTGGAAACAGATCACAGGCAAAAAAAGCAGTGGGATAGAGATTCAAATCTTGGGCCAATGTCTCAGAGGGTGATTAATGACAAAGGAAAAGGTTCTCTTCAGGTCCCAACCCTTGTGTTAGGTTCCCTGGCACAAAGTTGAGAGGGCTGCCCAATCTGAGACTTGTCTGCCTTGCCCAGATCATGCTCTGCTTAGGCCACTCCATGTCACACTAGGAGGGAATGTCTGGGAAAGGGCTGCCTGGGAATCTGCATCCCAGGCCACCAGCAGTAACTGGGACCAATGCTCTTAGAATACACAGGAGTCATCTGGGTGCATGTTTGGGGGAAGAGCCAGAGCTGCACGGGCAGCCTGAAAGCACCCCTGTTTTCTAAGCAAAAAAAAGCCCCATTTACCTTGGTAAACCAGATGCCATCATTTGAAGCTTCAAGCACTTTGTCCTTTCAATGCCTTACAAACGTTAGAGAATGGAATTTGCCATCAGTTTAGTCTGTAAGTGTCAGAGTCCAGAGCCAAGTGACCCTGACATGTAAGTACCAGTAAGATTAAGCTGATATAAGTGGGCTGCATTTCCAAGAAGGACCATAGGCTGTAATGCAGCATCAGGGATCTCCTCTAACAACAAACACTCTGATAGCCTGAGCAAAGCAGTATCAGTTCCAGATACAAGCTGCTTTCAAAGCAGAGGAACTCTTTTCCAAGTCAGCAAGGCTTCTCTGTGTCACTGCATGGAGCAATGGTATGAGGGATGGAGGACACAGGGACTGCCATGGCCCCAGACCTCTGGCAGAACCTCTGCCTCTCTTGGATGGCAAACTCTTCCAAGCGAGGGGTAAAGAAAAAGAATGTCATTTAAGGTGACTTTGGAAAGGAAAAAGCTTATTTTGGCAATAGCAGTGTTTATAAAGGCTACATCCAGCATTGACAAAAATCAGAGTAAATAGCGGTGGACCTGGTTCATGGCCAAACTCAATGCGGTGACTGACACCGGGAAAAGCCCTCCTCTGGAGCCTCCAGGTCTGAGCAGGGCCAGCTGTCCCACACCAGAATTTGAAGCCCACCACCCCCAAAATCCTGCCTAGGGCATCTCCATTCAAAAAACATTTCACTCAAACAGATCAATAGAAAATAGAAGTTAGAGATTAATCTTTTCCAAAGCTTTGGCTTTCCAAGGATTTTCCTGTGAAAACAGGGACACGTGGAGATTTTAACCTTGCTAACAAGGACACTCAGTGACACACAAGAGGGTCCCTGTGGTTTCCCCATGTGCTGATACCAGTCTCCTTGTAGTGTGGTGGAGGCTACTCAAGGCCTGCCCTGCTTTAGGTGCTGGCACAAGGCACAAGCACCAGGGATACCACCTCAGCCACAGAATTCCACAGCAGGGCTGCCAGGCTACCACCACTATGGCCAAACTCTTCTTCCCAAGGAAAAGCAGGAAAACTTATAAAAAAGAAAGCTAATAGTTTTCTTTCTCAACTGTAGTTATTCAGGATTGGATTATTTTTAATGGGGACCACAACAAAGAGTTTTTTTCATTTTCTCAGCAGAGATAAAGACTGATAAACATCCTGCCTCACAGCTACAGTGCCATTTTGGGCAAGCGAGATGGCACACTTTTCTTATTAATGTTCTAGCTGCTAGCTTTACACTAAAGTATCACTGTGACATCCTCTAAAGCTCTGATACAACAAAGAGTTTTTCTAAAGTTCTGTACCATAGTGTATTACAAAGTGAGAGAATTATTTTTTTCAAGCACTGAACATTGCAGCAAGTTATTTTCCACAACTATAATTCCATTGCACACTCGGAACCCAGGCTCTGGAGAGCTTTACTTGCACCTCTTCCTGGAGATATTCCAATGGACAATAAGCACGAGTCATTTTTCCCTGTCTTTGTGCCTGCTTTGCATTTCATAACAGAACTAAGACAATGCAGACGGTGCATTTTGAGTAGCTGCATCTCTTTCCATAAGACAGGGAGTACACAAGTGTGTGCTTGCTGGGAGTCCCTGTCCCTGCCAGGCTGGGGTGGCAGCCTGCTGGGCACAGCCTCTCCAGCAACACTGCTCATCTGTTCCACTTATGAGCATGGAAATGAGGTGGAGTGGAAAAAAGAACTGATCAGACAACTCAGAACTCCTGGAAAGGCTCTGTGTGTGATCCAGATTCCCACGTGGGAGCTCAGGAGCTCCTTACGCTATTCCAGATGGCTCTGGCTGGAGTTTACAACTTTCAGTGCTGCAGAAATACAGCCAAACTCATTCTGGTTGCACTTCCCAGCACAAAGAACACCACCTTACAATGACAAACAACATCCCCATGCTGCCCAATTGCACTCTGATCTCACAGGTATATTTATTTTCAGCAGCAAGCAAGGCACAGGAACCCCAACAAGATGGAACAGCAACAAGACCTCAGAGCAGACACTCGGCTCCTACAGGGTACAGAGCAGGCTGGTGTAGAGGTGAGGGTCCCACGGGACAGGGAGGCCTTTGCACAGCTGGTACAAGCAGTCAAACAAGACAAGAGCACCCAAATCAAGCGCTGGAAGAGGAGAAGAAACTTATCCACTGCAATGGAGTGTTCGGCTCAACAATGCTGAGACGAAGAAAGGCAACAAAGATGGAAGGTGTTCATGAGCAGTCAGCTGGAGCATGGAAGAGCTGATGGGCCAGGGGCTGGAGCAGGGAAGACCTGACAGGCAGGGCCTTTCTCTGGCAAAAAGCACTGATGCCCTTCCTCCTCTCTCATCTGTCCCTTTTATCTATTGTTTTCATGGTGGCAGCTTTGGGTTTTGGAGGGTTGGTTTCACAACCAGCTGAATTATCTCTGTCTCCCTGAAACGTTCCTGCAGTTAATACAACAGGGAAATATTTCGGAGGAAGAAAAAAGCTGGAAGAAGCACAAGCTTCTGCATAAGCCACCTCTCTGCGCAGGTGGAGAGCAATAGTGTGGTGGCCTCAGGACAGAACAGATGAACCCTGACGGAAGATCACCATGCAGCTGAATGAGCTGTGACCCTGCTCCACAGCTGCCCTCCCATGGCCGTATCCCGGTGGCTGCTGGCCCCAGACCCTCAGGGACATGTCCAGTCAGCCCCTGCACCATCAGACCTACTGCAGATAGCCATCACAGGATCTGAGCTTGTAATTGCATAAACACATCATAAATGCACTAGCCCTTTGCCTAGGCTGATTTGGGAGATGCTTTTCTTCCAAAATAATCAGCAGCAAGGACCATAAATATACCATCATCAGGGAAAAAACATTCCAAACAAAAGCCCCAGAAATACTACACTGGGCTTTGACAAGCAGCCTGCTCCTTACACCTGATTTCAAAGCTGTATTTCCATGCATCCTGACTTACATGGAAAGGTGCAGAAGGGCAGGGAAAGCACACTGCTGATAATACCTGTACCACAAGGCATGGAGGCCAGAGCCAAGCTGCAGGCAGTACCCAAACAGGGCAGGGTTCCTGCACCAACAACCCCTCACCACACACCCTCCCACATGTTTTCTATGTGACCACCAGCAGAAAAAATCCCACAGACCCCACAAAACCCCAGGCACACCTACAGCTCCCACATACCTCCAAGGAGGCTCCCCAGCCCCCTCCTAAGAAGCACAGAGCCCACTGAGGGTCCCACAAAGCTTCTGCCCCTCCCAGCCCGGCACTGTTCTCAACAAAGCCCAGCTGAAGTAGGGAGGGCAGAGCACACTCCAAAGGTCCAACAACAGCTCCACAGTTCTCATGGCAACAGCAAAATGTGACTTTTGGTTTATTTTAACTCTGAAAAGCTGCCCAACCTCTGGAAGTGAAATTTCCACGTGCATGCTGCTGAGGCCTGCCTCTGCTCCACCCTGAGAGCAAAGAAACTTCAAGGACAGGCAGTGCTCAGCAGAAATGCACTCATTGTTCATCAAGCTCCAGGTGAAGTCCCTGCACCACTTCACACAGTGAAGCCCAGAGGATGGAAAAGTATCCCCGCAAGAGATGAACACACTCCCCAAAAACTCTTGGTTCCTACATCCCAAAGAATGCCGGATTAAGCTTAGTTAAGTGAAGATAAAATTCTGTCTTGTGTTCCCTACTGTGTTGTGCCAAAAACTGTTACTGGATATGTGATTATTCCAAGCTTCCATGATTGTTCATTACCAGTTTGTGCAGAAACGTATGTTTTCTTTAGTATTCATATCAGCTTGACCATTAAATTGACCATTCTGTT